CAGCACACCAACATGGCACAAGTATACATATGTAACAAACCTGCACGTTATGCACATGTACCCTACAACTTAAAGTATAATAATAATAAATAAATTTAAAAAATAAATTAAAAAAAAAAGAGTTATAATTATTGCCAGGAAACAGTGCTTCCTTTTACTCTTTTTCCACAAATAAATTTACTTTGCCCTATGCATTTCATCTCATTTTAAAAAACAAAACTTTTATTTTAGGTTCAGGGATACATATGGAGATTTTTTTACTATAGGTAAACTCCTGCCATGGGGATTTGTTGTACAGATTATTTCATCACCCGGGAACTAAGCCTACTACCCAGTAGTTATTTTCTCTGATTCTCTCCCTCATCCCACCCTCCACCCTCTAGTAGGCCCCAATATGTTGTTCCTCTTTGTGTCCATGTGTTTTCATTATTTAGCTCCCACTTATAAGTGAGAGCATACAGTATTTGGTTTTCTGTTCCTGCATTAGTTTGCTAAGGATAATGCCTCTAGCTCCATCCATGTTCTTGCAAGGGACATGATAGCATTTTTTATGACTGTATAGAGTTCCATTATGTACCTGTACCACATTTTCTTTATCCAGTCTACCATTGATGGGCATTTAAGTTGATTCCATGTCTTTGCTATTGTGAATAGTGCTACAGTGAACATATGCGTGCATGTGCCTTTATGGTAGAATTATTTATATTCCTTTGGGTATATACCCAGGATTGAGATTGCTGGGTCAAATGGTAGTTCTGTTTTTAGCCTCTTCAGGTATCACCACGCTGCTTTCCACAATATTTAGTCTTCTTATACTCCTAACCCCCTCGGAAGTTTAGAATGGAAGCACATTTATTCAGATGATTATTAACTCTTTGCTTTTTCTGTTTTTACTGCATCATTTAAATTACTGTGTGGAACATCGAAAAGGGCCCTAAAGCCTCTGTTGTCAAATATGACTGACCTCTCTTGGTAAAGCGAGACCTGTTTCTGACTGAGATTCCTCCAGTCATTTCATGGTTAACTTTCCATGCACAGTTTCAGTTGTATTTCATTGTGTTCCTGGACCAGTGGAGATTCAACAGAGATGACACCTAAGCCAAGCTGCTAGTCATAGTGTGAGAAATCATAGCCTTCTCTTCACATGCTTTTATTCATATTCCTTTGGGCTTGATTTTAGATATTGCTCCTCAAATTCAGCCATCTTTCTTGATAGCTATTTCTGAAACTTTAGTGATTAAAAGCTTAGAGTCTAGAGTTAAGGAGTCTAGAGTTAAATAGTTTGGGTGTAGACTCTGGCCTGGTCACTTGCCATCTGTGGGCAGGCCACTTCTTTAAGCTTCACTTTTCTCCCCTATAAAATGGAAGGGGATGGAGGCCATCATGATACTTATTTTATAAGGTGATTGTGAAGATTCAAGGAGAAGTTGATACATATAAAGTTCTTACAACAGTGCTTGACAGGCAGTAAACAGCTATAAAAAGTTAATCATTATTTTCAGAAAAAAGTATTGAGTCAAACTTGAAACAGTGGTACAATGTCAAGAGCAGGAACTTTGCCTTATTAATTGTGTCTTCCTAACTCTATGGACTTAGGATCTGAGACTCTAGTTCCCACAAACTCATCCATCCTGGGGCCTCGCATATGGGAGGTATAAACCACGTCAGCCCTCCTTTGCTCTTTTTCCTTAGGGCTGCCCTGAGGAAGAAAGCTAATGTGTATAACATCTAGCATTATGCCAGGTATGTGGCCAGAGCTCAAAAAACTATAGCTATTATTGTGTTATATACTTTGCTCTATTTGTTATACCCTAGGTTAATGGCAGAGAGCTCTGTGAGGGTCTGCTGGGGGGAAGGTTAAATTATTTTAAAAACTTTAGTTCTCCCAGGTTTCACTTTGTAATGTTTGCCTTGCCTTTTATGTATTAAACAATAGTTTACTATACTCGTTCCTAAAATATTAAGTATAGCTTATTATGCCCTGTTAATCTTTCTCAGTTAGTGGCATACAATAATTTAAATATCTATTTGAAAAATCTCACTAAGCATTCATTTAAATGTGGCTCAGAATATTATATAATATGAAAAAGTACATGTTCTTTCAGAAATTAGTTCCAAAGAACTCCCTATATCTAGAGACAGGCTGTGAGAATGGAGACAAACAGTTGAGGAATGTCTCTGTTAGGAATCTTACTACTGCTTTTAAATTTCATGGAACACCTATTAAATCGCTTCGCAGCTAGATTATGAGGAAGGGGAGCCCTGCTCACTCTTTTAAAGTTAAAAGTGGAAAGTTACTTGCAGGTGATTAGGGAAAACCATCTCAGAGGAGTGGACTGTTGGCATGGAGACCCCCACATACATCTCTTGGGGGATGGCAAATCTTGAGAGAGGATGCTTTATTTCTCACCTCCTAAAATGTCTTTCCCAGCTTTCTGTGGTGAGAGAGAATGAGACAGCAGTCATACCTAACAGTTGGTGAAACAGTTCTATGGGAGTGAGGGAAAGTGAGGGGCCTAGGATGAGTCAGAAAGATGTACATATGGAAAGGGAGAGAGAGAGAGATACAATCTTGATTAAATTATGCCTTCCTACAAAAAAATATGTATTTCCACATATGATACAAATTGAAGTATATAACCTTGATAAAGCAAGATCTGTCAGAAAAAAATTAGAAAAATTGCTTTAAATAAACAGTCCTTCAAAAGATATCACACCCGGAGACTTTCTGAGAAAATGTTTCCAAACTTTTAAGGAACAAATAGTATGTTATATAAATTTCCTCGAGTTTGTGAAAAGAAAATCAACTTTCTAATTCATTGTGTCAAGTAGACCTATTTACAATAGGAAGTCCCTCAACCAATCTTACTTCTCAGTAGATAAAATCTTAAATACAACTTGGTAAATTGAATCTTGCATTTTGTGAAAAAATTCACAAAATGCTCATGTCAAATAAGGCTGAGTCTGTAAATGTACACAGTTAATTTTGATAAAATCTGATCACAGAATCCATCATATTAATATGTTGAAAGAGAAAGCAATAGACTTGTATTGACAGGTGTCACAGTGACATTTGACTAAAACTTAACATCCATTTGTTGTTAGTTTTTTTTAAAGGATGTAGTGAAATAGCAACAGAAGAATATAGTGTTTATTTCAATGGTGAAACCAATTTTTTATTGTGAGTCATTTCTATTAAAGTCAGCTTAGTTATAAGCAATATGACATAACATAATATTTGTATGTAATATTTGGGAAGTCGTAGTATAGTTATTGTCAAGTTATTGTTCTAGTACAATAACTTGAAACATAAAATATAAAATGAAAACTGACTTTATAGCTATGTGGATATTTACCTGGAAGAGCCAAAGGAATTAGGTGAAATGTTATTAGAAATGATTCAGTAATTCAGAAAGGTAGCCAAATACAAAATTACATATAAGAAAGTTATTAGCTTTTTTATACAAAGTAATAATCAGTTAGAAATTACAATAAAAAATAAAATACCTCTTTATTTACTTACTTTCTTACTGTTGTCTAGGCTGGAGTACAATGGCACAATCTCAACTCACTGCAACCTTTGCCTCCTAGGCTCAAGCAATTCTCCTGCTTCAGCCTCTTGAGTAGCTGGTCTACAGATATCCACCACCACCCCTGGACAATTTTTCAAAAATATTTTGTAGAGATGGGGTGTTGCTGTGTTCCCCAGGTTGGTCTCAAACTCCTGGGCTCAAGCAATCCACCCTTGTTGACCTCTCAAGGTGCTGGGATTATAGGTGTGAGCCACTGTGCCCAGCCAATTCTTTTTAAATAACACAATATTCCAGTCACAAAAACATACTACACCTATATTTATGAGTGAAAATAAGAAATCAGAAGGTGTTTTTTTGGTATTGTTGCGAAAAAAACAAAAATGTCTTAACTAATGATAAACAGTCCACAGTACTCATTCTATTATAGGCAATTTCAATCGGATTTTATTTTTGATTTTAATAAAATATTTCAAAAATCAAGCTAACATGGGAAAATCAAGAAAAAGTTGAAATAAAGCACAGTGGGTAAAGGTTGGAAGGATGTAGAACACACTATTCCAGTGATTATATTATAAAAATTATAGTCATATATATTATGTAATATATAATATTGTAAGAATTAGGACAGTGTCTCAGGTGAAGAATTAGATAAAGCTGATTTGGATAGACTATAGATTTCAAATAAGACTCACGTATATATTTGTGTGTGTATGTGTGTGTGTGTGTGACTGAAGTAGCATTTTATTCAATGAGAAAAGGGATGATTATTCAACAAATGGTGTTGAAAGCAACAGCTATCATTTGGGAAAATACAAAGTTAGATTCCTTCTTTAAACCTTATATAAAAATATACATTGGATATGTATTTTATTAAATATTTATTTAAAGATTTCATTAATATATAACATAAAATTTTATTAATGTAACAACTAAAAAGTAATTTCATTAAAATTACTAAAATAAAGTAAAAATGAGTATTTAAATTTCAAGGTAGGGAAGATATTTCTAAGCATATCACTAGAGCTAGAAAGCATGAAGAAAATGTCTCATAGATATGTATACATTAAGGAATCAAATTTTTCTACACATCAAAAACACCATAAAGAAAACGTAAAGGCAAATGACAAGGCTGGGATTCTATTTCCTGTGTTGCTAAAGAGACATTAGCGTTAATGTCTTAAAAATCCTTACAAATCGGCTGGGCTCGGTGGCTCATGCCTGTAATCCCCGCACTTTGGGTGGCTGAAGCGAGCAGATCACAAGGTCAGGAGTTCGAGACCAGCCTGACCAACATCGTGAAACCCTGTGTCTACTAAAAATACAAAAATTGTCCAGGCATAGTGGCACATGCCTGTAATCCCAGCTACTTAGGAGGCTGAGGTAGGAGAATCACTTGAACCTGGGAGGTGGAGGTTGCCGTAAGCCGAGATCGTGCCACTCACTTCAGCCTGGGCGACAGAGCGAAACTCCATCTAAAAAAAAAAAAAAAAAAAAAATTCTTAGAAATTAATAAGGAAAAAAATTGACCTTTCTTCCAGAAAAATGAACACAATCAATCTATAAGAAACACAATTGGTGAGTTACATGAATACAACCCCAATTTTAAAGAAATACAAATTAAACAATAGTGAACTAACATTTTCTCTAATGAGTATTCAAGATTAAAAAACAAAGTCAAAACTAAATGATAACAAATTCAATGTATTGATTAAAGTCAGGACATTCTTATTCGTTAGCAATAAAAGTGAAAGTTTGAGTCGCCTTCTAGAATTCAAGTCACACTATGAACCAACAATTTTACTTCTAAGAATTTATCCTAAGGAAATAATTAAGAATATGTGAAAATATTTAGCTACATCATTGTTTATTATAGTGGAAAACTGAAAATGTGCCAAAAAAAAAAAAAATGAGCCAAATATTCAGCAGTGGGAATTAGCACAATATACCTTGATATGTTATCAAGGTAAATGTGTATGATAGGATACTGATGCATAAGGATAATTTTCAACATGGTAGATTTTCATTATGTTAAATGAAAAAATAAAAAATACATAAAATGTGAGCCCATTTTTGTAATAAAAAATATATTTATATAGTTATTCAAGGAAAAACATCTAGAAGGACATCACAAAATACCAACAGTAGGTATGATTCAAAGTCTTATAGGTGGTTTTCAGCATATAGATTACTCCCAGCAAAGAGACCTCTCTGACACTTGGTTTCTTCATCTGTGAAATAAAGAAATCATACTAGATTAGTTCTAAATGTTTTTAGAAAAGTATTTCATAATTCTATAAGTAATGATGATTAATAACCTTGAGAACATTGTTATTTTTTTTTCATTGAACTTCGGAGTTAGTAGAGTAAAACCAAGTTTATCTTGAGCTATCCCTTGTTTTATTTAAAATTCACATCCTGGTGTTTATATATATGTATGTGTATATATATATATATATAGTGCTTTCTCACAAATGCTTGTTTTGGTATGGAGCGGGTTGGGCGGGTACAGACTTTCATTGAAATTAGGTACAGAATTCTTAGAGACACAAATTAAATCTTGTTAATATGTTATATACATTTTCATGTTTCATCTACCATTTGAAACCATATAACCATTTGAAATCTTGGTTTTGGTACGTTTCTTTAATTAACATTCACATTGAAAAACTGTAAGAGATTCAACCCTTGAAAAAGTCCTTTTGCTAAAGAGATTTTCATGTGCTCTAAAAATTGGTGGAAAATAGTTCTGCTCTTATTATCAAATGAATGTCACTCTACTCTTATTTCTAGCTAATAGTAAAACCACCTGGAAAATGATAACATACAATAAATATCTCAAGTGGTCATTTAGTACTTTGTTGCGATAATGAAATAAAAAACACACTCAGTTTTAATTTGCTGTTAAACACTTAACATTTCACAGTGGCTGTTTGGAGGCCGTATACAATGATAGAAAAAGTGGCTTTCTAAAAGTGCTTTGCCTCATTCTTGCTTAACCTGGCAGACGTCATGAATTTCCAAGAGGGAACATATTTTATTTGCCTTATACCACCAGAGGATTTGGCCAATTATTGCTATTTATTTAATGTTGGTGTTGACATAGTGCCTTTTGCCCTGAGGAGCTCCAGGTGCTTTATAAAATTAGTCAGCAATTCACATCACGGTCTTTACACCAGAGAGTGAACACTGAAAATAATAATGATTCGTGGAACCTACAGCCACCCCTAACTCGTATTTCTGTTTGCCCAGTGAAACAAAACAAATATGCCCAGTTCCCTCAGAGAGCTAGCAGCAAAAAGTTCTAGTGGGGCATCATGGGAGTTTCTCTCTTGTGTAACTAGGTGAACTCCTGTGAGGAAAATTTGCCATGCACCCTACAGAGCTGAGACTTACTATTCTCTGTTCTAAGACCCATACCTTCTCTGTTCTAGGACCCAGTAAGGAGCTCCAGTTTTTTCAGGCCTTTGCTCAAATATCATTTTCTTCATAAGACTTTTCATGACCATCTATTTTTAAAAACAGCTAATCCAAACCTATCATCAAGTGCAAAGTTTCTGTATCGTCATTCCTACATTATTTTTCTCTGTAGCACATGTAGCTATTCAGCACACTTAGATTTTTATTTATTTATTAATTAAGGGTTGACTCCCTCCCACCAGATGAAGAACGTTTGTCTATTCTGTTCAATTATGAATTGAAAAATTTCTGTTCCAAATATTGGTATTTGAACTGTGTATATACTGCCCCCTTTTTCTATAAAATACTAATGGAAGTTCATAGATATATACAATTCACAGATAATGTTACAAATTTATTTCAGATGTTACTTCTTGCCTTTTTCTATGCCAAGACACTTAACAAATACTTCAAAATTGAAAGCATTTTATTTTTACTCCTTATTTTATCTGTTCCACAAAATAGTTAGAGCTAGAGGAAGAATTATATAATATATTTATCAATAAGTCAACATCCTATTAATGAATGAACATAGAACCAACTCATAGAAAGCACAGTCAGAAAATCAAGGTGTGGCTTGCTTGGCATGAAAACATAATGCCCACAAGAACTACTGTTGTTGATTATGCTGTACTGTATGAGAAAGGCATTTCTGACATTAGCTTTGATACTAGCCTTTTAGTAAACGAGTAAAGTTAGTTAGTATACTCACCCACTTCAGATTATCAATTCAGTACTAACTCAGTAATTTGGTGTTACTACATACTGAGATATCTAGCTGGATTCAGGATTTGCTCAATTCAATTAACAAATCCAGTGTTATGGGGGAAAAAACCTTTGTGGGTAAGCATTTCTAAATTAGTGTTTTTATGAAGCCACAATATTCTGGTAGTTCATCTTTTCCTTCAGTTCTCTGAAATTGTAATCATTTCTAAATTGTTGCTTTCCAGGTAAAAGATGTGAGATAGGGAAAAGGAAGGCTTTCTTATGAATTTTTTTCTTTCATTGCCCAGTTAAATTGGATTTATGATTTATATCCATTCATCCTATCCATACCCATCATATATCTGTCATATATCCATCCTATTCATATCCAATCTAATTCATAAGACTTTTCCATCTTTTTTCATGAGATTAGATTTTTTTTTAGCAGGTGAGAAGAAATAAAAGGCACATAATACTAACATGTTCCTGGCATTCCAACAGATAATAATGCCATAGCAATTTTATAAAGATTAAAAATACCCTAGCTCATTATGACTTTGATGGGCCCAATGCACTTTTGGCTTTGTGGGTCTGCTCCTCATAAAAAATACAAAATTATATTTTGTTGATGCATTTATGTAAAGATAAATGTAATCTAAACTGTATTGTACTCATTTATTTTTCAGATTTTAAAAGAGATTTAACATTTCTATGAGATCCTAAAATTATCATGAGCTCTAGAAATAGTGCTTACTACGCTATTGGATAAACTAAGCTGGCATTGTCATAGCTAAATTGGTTACGTTTTAAGCTGTGAATGAAGGGGAATTTGGTAAACCAAACAACTGTTTTATGCCCATTGTTCATCATTCCAGTATAAATATATTTTTACTATTAACATTAGTTATTACAAGTGGAGTGTGAAGGAATGGAGTCAGGGTTTGGAAAGAGCGCTAATGCAAGTATTTGACTCCATCAACAAAACTTTATGTAAAAATCTTCAGGTTTTGTGCCTGTAATCTTCTTATAGGATTTAATGCTATTTTACTTTGTCAAAAAATTTTTTCTTCAAAGATTTGTATTTTTAAATGACTGATGCTGTGAAAGAAAATGCCCTCATGATTATATTTGTATTGTGAATTTTTACAGTAGGGACAAACTAGAATTTTTCATGCAGAGAGCACCTTGGGTTTTACTCACTATAGCTCTTCAAAGTTCTTCAAAGTTCAAAGTAAAAATTGATGCTAATTTTCCTATAACCTAGGTGAAAAGCCCACATATCATTTAACAAAGTACACACTCATTCATATTTAACACAAACTCTTTTTTCTTCTGTTGAAGCCGACTTTATCCAATTTTTAGTTTCCAGTTATCTATGGTTCTGGGAAACAGAGCTAACTTGGATTCATTAATACTGTAAACAAGTGTTTCTTGAGAAGCTCCTGGTTATGAACTACCTAGAATGAAACTGGGTAAACTAATATCAACATCCATTCTTTTGCCAAACATCACTGATAAACTGCAACTTTTTTTTTTTTTTACATGAGTGGTCTTGGAATCACATTTCTGCATTGAAAACCCAGCACTGTTGCTGACTGGCTGCATGGCCTATATCTACTCATGTTTCTGACGCTACCAGGTTCCAGGCACTGTTCTAGGCACTGAGGATGAAAAGATGAATAATATGGAGTTCCCATCTTCAAAAAAGTTACAATTTAAAGGAAGACAGGCAAATGAAAGTTACCCCACAAAATAATAAAAATGCAGGGGTAAAACTAGGGCATAGTTATATTTTGGCTTGTCTCTTTACCTCTGAGATTCTTTTGCTTTTTATGTAATTGGATTTTAACCTCAGGAGACTGTTAGGTTTAAAGATGATAATGTATAAAACGTATCTAGCATAGGACCTGGGAAATGCTCGTACAACAGATTCCAATTGTATCACTTTTTTTTTTATTATAAAGAACAAGTCAAAATGAAAAGACTGAAGAAAAATAAATCATCAGTTAGCTAACTGGTCCCTGAATGTGAGAGGTAAGACTATATATAAATATGTTAGTAGTTCAATAGACAGTCTGTTAATACATCTGTATATATTATTTAGCCCAGGTATAGAAATAGAGGCTTCATCTGATCCACAGCGATTATAAAAGCAATACAAAGCAATAGGCTCTTACACAATACTTTGAGTAATGATCAGAATTTTCTGTTGCCATCCACACATTTGGGTGAGATGTAGTGAGTGCTAGAAAATAAAACAGTTTGTATTAAAAAGGGTGTGTTAAAAGAAATAAACTAATCCTTGAGAAACATTGTCATGCAATCTCATATCTAGAAATTGTGCCTATGTTCTGGCTATAAATTGTTGAATTGGGAAGGAGTTATATTTAGGACACACATTGACACTACATATGACATTTGAAAAAACACTTGCTAATTCAACTAACAGCTCGCTTCTCCCCACTACTCACTGTGGAGAGAGCTTCCAGCTAATACTTAGAATCTCGCAGGCCAACCACTGATGGAACCCGGTGCTATGTGATTGTAGGAATTTCTTTCTTGCTCTGAATGTAACTAAAAGTAATGGGCTTCTTATTTTTTCCTTTTCCTTTTGTGTTATAGATGGCAAAGACTGTTTCTCATCAGTTTCATATAGCCAAATTAGGTTTACCTCTCATGCTGACTGAGTAAAAGTGTTAAATCCTGGGCACGTTGTCTCCTGAGTCCTCTGAAATCCATGTCAGAATAGGAGTGCTCATTACCAGACTTGATGAGGAGCTCCTTTTCCAGAACTTCTCTCTATTACACACTAAGGACAAAGCAACTCTGCCTAAATTCCAAGCAACCATGACCTGTGGCTGTCTTGGAACTTTTGCCCTCTGGCGTGGGTAGAACTAGCGTCAATTGGGTAATTCAATCCCTAAGTTCCTTCTTCAATGAATGAGAGAATCCAGGAATGTGTTGCCAGTTGCCTTTTCCTTGTGCCCAGTTTTCCTTGCTGCAGGATGATGACAGTCTATTTCCACACCTCCCCTCCTGCCACTACAGGATTTATGATCTGCATGCCCCAGTTGTGAAGCTGGCATGTAGCATTTTGTTGCCACAGGCCTGTGAGTGTTTAGAAGTTTGTGTTTGTATTTCCGGGGCTACAGTTTGAATATTGAAGGAACAAACAGATAGCAAACAATTCAGAGGTCAAGTTGTGACTGCTTCCTCATTTGGAGAGCTTATTTTATGTCTGTATATTCTATACTCAGATTCCCACATAACTTCTGTTTTTTCCACCTTCATTGCTTTGGTTAGATGCTTTCAAGTGCATTTTTTTTCTGTAAGAAATCCCCATAAAAGAGTTGTTTACTTGAAGTGATGGGTAAGCAAAGTTTGCCTGACGTGGAACCTCAGAAACTTTCCCCTAAGGAAAAGGTCTGGCGTGTGGGTGGGCGCTCTTCCATCCAGACGGATGGGAATGTAGCCAGGCAGCCAGGAGACGCATTGACTTGTGACCACTGGGAAGGATGCCTAGCCAGAAAAGTCCCAGCAGCTGGGTCTGTTAATCTTTTCTGAATGAACCAGCAGGCATTTGACCTCTCTAAACCTGTCCTGGATTCCTTTGTATCATTGTAATCATCTTTTTACTCCCTCAAGAGTTCCCCTATAAAGTTGTTCTTAATAAAACTCTTGCCCACTTCCCCCTGACCTTCTGAGTTGAATATGAATTTCACTAATCCGTGAAAGAAACCACCATGACCTTCATAAAGCCATTTCTACTCTGTTTGGTTCCTCCCTTCTAAGAATTTGTTCATTCAAGCAAGTATTTGAGTCTAAATGGATCCACTTGGACATTTTAACAATTATCATGAACCTCAGTATCCTTAAAGTGTAGCTAAAACAGGCTCAAAAAATTCAGATAGCGTAATCTACTTTCTCTTTCCCTCCTCCAAATTTGAGTGGATTAATTCACTTCACCATGCCAGCATCTGAGTACAGAATAATTTATTTCTGTGTCATTTCATGATGAAAGCCTAGCTGGCATTAGCTCAAATTATGCTGCTGGCTATTAATTGAAGAGAACTTCCCTGTCACTCCTCAGTCAAACACGATCTGATTCAACAGATCCTTTTCACTCTCATCCCTTCTATTCTACCAGAAGAACAAATGTAAATAACTTTCACTTGGCTCTGCTTGTCATGGATTATAAATTACCTGACAGCATTCAGACTGACCACATTACTGTTTTGGGGGCTGCTTGTTTCAGTTGATTAGTATTTCTAGGAGAGTTTCGTACATTTCATCTCTGAGGCGCTAATGATGTCCACTAGAAGGAAATATTGTAGCCTGCCTTTGTTTTTACATACTGTATAACTAATTTTCAATCTAATTTCAACAAGATGTCAAATTCTAGCACCTGTAGGGCAAGTGCTGGTCTTCTATGAATTGATTATATGTTTTTCTATCATACTTGATGGTGTACAAGCCCAGGTTGTATTTTAAATAGAACCCCAGGAGAGAGATTTGTTCTGGAATTTAGAAATATATATTATGTGCCAAAATTATTTGATGAGTGCATTTTGTAATTCTTAAAATACAAAACTACTTGGCATGAAGAGATGCTATAGTATGTTAAAAATTGTGGAACTTTTTCATAAGATGAAATTCTGTGCAGAAATGAGGTAGCAGAATTCTTGTGGGAGTGCTAAAATGGTTCATCAATTTGATCCTCACTGCATATGAGAATTCACCAATTATATTACTCTCCGAAAATATGTTTCAGTATCGAGGGCCTCTTTTTGCCCTTCCTCCATCCCAGTGTCTATACTCTCCATACAGTGTGATCACTGGGTGCTGCATGACTAGTCATTATTATGCGCTCAGCCCTGAAAATGAACTTAAGATGGTAAAATCATACCTTGCCAGGGTTTGGGTGGCTGTGAGGGATTCAGTATGATTTTAGCAACAGGGACTGGAAAAGAAATCAGAACTTGGCAGAGAAAAAAAATAGCACTAGGATACTAGAAGAGACCTGGGAGAACTATCTTGACCTTAGAGGCTCGTCTTGTGAGTCATTTGAGAAATAGTATCAAAAGGGCATAAGAGGGCCTGGTGTGGATTAGACTATTTGGGGTTACAGGAGATCCAAAGCTAGAAGGGGCAACAAAACATTGTGGTATGAGGCCATCCTAGTTTGAACATCAGGCACAGGATCTAGTGTTCTCAAAGCAGATCTCAGGGAATGGGCAGCCTGAGAAGAAGAGTAGATCATGCAGAAGCCAGAAGTTACCCCTAGATACAGATCTGAGTGTCATGACCTAGACACAGTTAGTCCTTAAATGGGCCCCACCCTGGCAGGGTTCTTTCATGAACTCAGGCTGAGCCTGAAGTGAGTAGATTCAGCTGAAGGGAAGGTAAAGAACTCTAAGTTGATAGACTTGCAAGATGGAGAGGCTGCTTTCAGGAAACCATTGATGATGTTATCAATCACATTGATAATCTATGTGATTGCCCTTTTATAAGGGTATGCGCTTTCTGCACAATTATGAGAAAGTATTTAGCCAAACCTGTATTCCCTATATAAAGGGGGAGGAGATAGTATCCCATGGGGAATTCCTTCCCATATTATAAACTGGTAGACAACTTAAGCAAAAATGCTTTTACTCGTGTGAACACTGTTGAAGTATAAAGCCAGGGATTTAAGTCATGATAGGTGCTTATTTATTTTGAACATTTGCCAGAAGTTTGATGATGGATATATTTGTAGACTGGGTGTTAGAGGTTGTTATATTCTAAAAAGATACCTTCTGATTAATTTTCTTCGTTTGTAACAACAGTCTATTTTGGTAACATTTAATTTATGAACTTTGGTGTCATGTTAGACTTTATAAATTTTGGTTGTACATACCCTGCAATGCTTACAGAGAGAGCCAGTCAGGCAGTAATTGCTACATATTGAGTGCCTTCTATTTTCTGAGCACTGTTCTAAATTCTAGAGATACAGCAGTGAACCAGACAGAGTCTCCATCCTAAAAGAGCCTAGTGGAGGATGGGAACTGAGGTAGTATTTGTAATTGTCACAGTATAGTACCCTTGCTTCTTCAGATGCCATTATTAAGGGCATCCCTTTCTTTAAATTCTGAGATCCCTTACTTGACTCAGCTTATGCCAGAACTGATGAGAATTAGACCTTCCTAAGGTCTTCTTTCTTCCTAAAGTGAAGATTGAAATAAATCTATAAGATAAAAATAATCCTACTACCAAGCCCCACTTAAGACTGGATTTTTAACTTGCTCTTCTCAGCACAATGACACAACAGAGAACACAGAGGTTAATGGAAAGTCTTTGGAGCAAAGGATATTTCAAAACCACCAGTTTGTTAGATTTGATGATCAGCTCTGCAAAATGTTTAAAGAAGATTTCTTACTCACATCTTATAAGTTAAGACTATAAATGGTTTAAATGGGGGAGGATGTGACAGGATTGAAAATCTTCCCCTTCCTTCGTGGCTATGAGAATTCACACTGAGCAACAGGGGAAGAGAAGGAACTAGAACTTGGAATGAGCTTATGTGTGGGCCCTCATTGTTCCAGGATTTACAAAGGGCTACGCTATCATCATATTAAACAAATGGCTCTTGCTCTTTGTGCCAGCTTAATTGCCACCTTGGCTCCCGAACAAAGAAATCACCACTGAGGCAAAACATGTTTGCTATTGAAGGCAAAACCCGCTTAGAGCAATTTTTGGGTTGTTTTTCCATTTAATTTTTTAACTTGCAGAAATAGCCCTCTTTTTTCTGGTTTTTGTTGTTTTTTTGTTTGTTTGTTTGTTTTGTTTTGTTTTAAATGATGTACCCTTGTGCTGTTAAGTTTTAACATGGAATACAGGCTTTATGTATTTAGGCAGTAGTGCTGAGTTAGATACTGGTACCAAAAAAAGGAAAGAAAGAGAACAAGAGGACGGCACATGTCAAAATGCCTGATAGAACTGCATGGACAGAACTAAATGTGCTTCCCTACTATTAGTTACATGTATAAGTCACATCTCAAAGTGTGTTCCCCAGGTCAGCATCAATATAACCTAGGAACTTGCTGGAAATGCAAATTCTCTGGTTCCATCTCAGGCCTAATGAATCTGAAACTCTGGGTAGAAGGGAGTGGCCCAGTAACCTGCATTTTACAAAGACCTCCAGGACACTCTGATGTATGCTAGAGTCTGAGATCCACTGGTGCAAAGAATACCACAGGACAGATGTAGACTAACTAAACTAGTTCTGTTTCTCTTAAAATGACGTTGACAATATTTAGAATTTTGAAGAATGGTATAGAAATTCATAGCTCGTGTGTGTGTGTGTGTGTGTGTGTTTGTGTGTGTTTTAGCAGAATTCTGTTTTAGAAAATATGGAGTAGACTCTCTTTTATCTAGTTTTGATATTTTTGTTATTTTTTAAAAATTAAGAAGTAAGTAGAGAAGTATAGCCAGCTACTTCCATAATTTCGTAGAAATAATGAAGTTTATTCTAGCAGAAATGTATATCTTATGGAATAACTTCCCTAATATTCTGTCTAGACATATATTCTTTTTTGAGGCAGGAATACAAAAGAAAATTGGCTTCTGCATCAAATTCAAAGAAATGGTGTTTTAATTCTGTAGAGAAGTAATTTCATTTTCTCAGAGAAATGGGTAGACAGATATTAGTAATTTAATTCTCTTCTTAAATGATGGCTGCTATAGTTCTTACCAACGCTGAAAGAAGTAGAGTCAAATAGATTTAAATCTGGCTAGTGATTAGAATTTTTTTTGGGGGGGTAGGGTGGGTGAAACTGTATTGCAGGGAGGTCTGTTGTAATAAGCTGACAGCTAGTTATCATGCACTACCCTGCAGTTCTTTGACATGATAGCTAAGGGCATAGACAAAAATCTGAACTCTATGGTCTTTGTACATAACTGCATTCAGATTAATTCACTTAATAAATATTTGTGGAGCACCTACCGTAGACTTATCACTATAATGGGCTAAGGTTGTACAGTGAGCAGGATACTCACATACATGATTCTCGTGAAGCCGGAGGTCCAATGGTAAAGCTAGATGAGTAAACATCAATTATAGTGAAGTATAATCACTTTCAGGATGAGGCAGAATATAGGATGCTATGCAAGCAGTCATCCTTGATTTCAGGACTGGGTGATGGAGAGTTCAGGAATGGTTCATGGAAGAGGCACTAAAGCTACAGGCTGAATAGAAATTAGCAAGGTGACGGACAGGCCAGGCAGAGAGAAGAGCATATGCAAAGTTGAAAAGTGGAGAGTTCTTGATGTTACCACGTTACTGAACATACATATCGTGGAGTTTAGGATGCAGAGAGGACAGTTGCACATGGTCTGGAGAATAATGGGAGATGAAGCTGAGAGTAATGCAGGGAACAGAAAATAGCAGGCCTTGCTATCCATGTTAAGAATTCTGGACTTCAATCCAACAAAAGGGAAAGCCTTTGAGTTTGTAGTATTTGGCTGTGCTGTAGAGAGTGTATTGGGGAAGGACAGTGCTGAAGGAAAGGAGACCAGCTGGGACATTGCTGCAATAATTCAGACCAGTCAGTACTCATGGCTTGGACCAGCAGCAAGGGGAGAATGAAAAGTAAAGAGATTTAGGAAATAGCTACTTAGGAAACAGATTCAACGGGACCTGGCATTTCAATATATATGACAGCAAGGAACAGGAAGACACTTGGGACGACTAGATGAACAGTAGGCCATTCACTGAGTTTGGAGTCCATCAAGAGGAGTGGGTTTGAGGGTGAAATTATGTGTTCTATTTGGGCTAGTAGAGTCTAAGAAGTCTGTGGTTGTCCAAGTAGAGATGTCCAATAAACTGTGGAAAATGCAACCCCTTATGCCTCTCTATTCTCATAAATACTTTTCATGCTTTTTCACAGCAGAGGCTAAAGCCAAACAACTTTTACAGTCATTGATTACTTCTATAGTGATCGGGCACTACTCTTGATGTCAGTTTAAGTATTATGTGAATTTTAGAGTTGCAGAATTTTCTGCACAAAATCCTAGAAAGCAACTTTGTTTACTCAATGAAACCTGCCTGCCAACTAACAAGACCTATTATCTTTCAGTGGGGATTTTATTTCAACAATGGAAACTATGACAGAACTGGGATGGTCTAACCCCAATTTGAACACTCTATTCTCGTTTTCATTAGGAATCACTTCCCTGTAATCATAAAACATAAATATATTTACTATAGACGTGTTGTTTGGTGAAAGCAACACTAAAAATGAGTAGATGAATATAATAGCTAAAGGATAAAACAGGAGTTCCCATTTTTAAAAAGAAGGACTATGTTTACAACACAACTCTCCTTAATTCTATAGTGTTATTATAGCAGTGAATTTTCAAATAAAATGTTAAAATTGGAATGCTAGAAGTTTTCTTCTATCATATCAAATAAATGGAAGGTCACCTGTTTGATGATTACATATTCAAGTGATAGTTCTCAAAAAGTAAATAAAAATCTCATATAAATTATAAATCATTCTGCAAAGTTTTGCCTCATATTTTCTCCATAATTATGAAGCTTCTGAAGTTATTTTACTTTTGAGAAGCCACAGATGGTCTTAAAAATTAATATAAATTCAATAAATTTCAACTAGCCTTGAGGAATAAAGAGAGCAAGGATTGTCATCAACACAATTAAGAATGGCCAAATCCTATTAATGTTTTCAAATTACCAAATTAGAAAAGTTAGGAAGCATGAATAATTTATTTCTGACAACATATCCTTTTTAATATCTGCATTACTGTGGTCTGCTAAGGAGACAAACCTACTCATGTGACATACCATGTGTAAATGTTTTCCTAATTAATAATTGGAAAGTTTCTGTGTGAAACACAAACTTTCTAATCATACATAATGTAGACTACAGGCAGACAGTTAGGAGTTGGTCAAAGCTGTCAAAGCTTCTTTTATGGAAATCTCTTTTCCTGTGATCTTTATCCTATTCCAGATACTCAGAACTCTTTTTCTCTATAGTACTTAGATAACACAGTGTTTATCCTCACATCCTATCATAGCTTTTATATTAACCACTCAGCAAATATGTGTGCATGCACATACACGCACACCCATACATATATATATTTAACCATCTAGAAACTATATTAAATCTTCTGTAAACTTCAGATAAGCCTGCTTAAATTGGGGGTGGGTCTTATTGTAGCATACCAAATGGTTTATATACCAAGTATATATTTGTCATACTATGTGGAACAGTATTATATTTAAAACTGAGGTCTTATTTCATGTAGGTTGTACCAAATTTGTGGTGGTAAACATTGCATTTAGCTCATTCACAAAGAGTGCAGAAATACAGATTATCCATGTTTTTCTGTAGTGCCACTCAGTGTAATAGGTAAACAATACATCTCATATTAAAGAAAAAAGAGAGTCTTTTCAAAAGCTTGTAAGGGTCTGAATAAAGGTCTTGGAAATGTGTCATAACAGCTGAAATCGAAGAGATTTGAAAAAAGTGGGAGAAGTTAAATATTGCAGATGCATAGAGCTGAGACTTCTTCATTGGAAGTTGGGTAGTTCCAACTTTCATGTTGAAAATCTTTAAAAGTAGCCAAAAGCTAATTTTTTAAATCACATATTACAGATAGAACTGCATGTGTATTTGATATATTCCATATTTGTGTATCCAAAATTAGCAAATCCATGGTATTTTTATTCTTTGTTTTAGATATTCTAATCATTTCATAGCACTTTCATTACACATCTGCCCAGATTTCGTATTGCTAAATTTTAGACACTATTCTTTAAGTCTTGGAAGAGATCGACTTTTTCAGCACAACCCAGCCCAAACAATGTAGTGTTACTGTACTATATGAAGACAACACATGTGCTGGTCTTGTTCAGGCATTTACTGCATTTTTATTGAATGTCAAGTATGTGCCAGGCAAAGTCCATCTAGGGATTTTAGGATTTCCAGGACCTGCCATTTATAAACTTCCTGTAAGAAAAATTAACCCCCTCAAAATGGGTGTTGACATCCAGTTTGCCTTTATCGCTCCTCTGATGCCTTTTAAAAACTATATTTACCCATCTTATGTCAATAAAAAGGATGTATTTATTATAAGTTATGGCAGGTAGTATTTTATAGACAACTTTATAGCCCACATGTTAAAGGTAAAAGTGAAGAAATTATGCTACTTTGCTGTATTTTCCCAGTGATTTATGTAAGTATTTACTCCCGGCAGGAAAATGCTGTAACACTGTTGCTGACAACAGGGCCCAAATAAGTATCAGCTTGATGTTCTGTAATACCTATTATCTTATTTGTTTTTGCATAATCCCTAGGAGGTAAATATATAACACTTTGGTTTCATTAGCATCACAACACATTATTAGGCAAATCAACAGAATGAAATTAAAGTTATATTATCTAATTGAAAAAAGCCTTCACTTACATTTTCAAGCATTAGTTCTTATCCACTTTCAATCACCTGGGGAACTTTAAAAAATCTGATGCCTGGGCCAGACACCCAGAAAAATGACATTAGGCTTTCTGGGGACAGGACCCAGGTGACTGTGTTTTTCTAAATGTCTTTCATGACTCTGCTGCTTTAGAGGTTCACAGACTTCCACTTAAAGAACTGCTAGTTAAGAAATGGATCCATACTTGCTCTGACTCCCAGAGATATCACTTTTCACGTGTTCCTATCATTTAGAAAAAAATGATTTGAATCAGCTAGATACATGATAGAGGACCCCCCACTACACACACACACACCAATCTAAGCACAAAATTATCTTGTTGTCCTCAATAGTTTGCATGGATAAGTAATGCAAAATAAGTATCATACCCAATATTAAGAAATTCTTAACAAGAAGCCCAAGTTTTCACCTTGTTTCCTATTTTTTCCTTCAGCCATCACATTCAAACCTGGCCCAAAGGTTTCTCACATTCTAGCCTCCATCACCACCACTATTGCTTTCGCCTGGGCTTTTGGCAAGCTAGAAATTGCCAGACTTTCCTGACAACAGGCTCTGTAAGATTCAGTTTAAAGCTTACACTTTGGCTGGAGCTCATCCTCCTAACAAGAGACTGTGATATGTAAATCCACAACCTGAAATCTCATTGGCTCTCCATTGCCTACCAATAACCCCCAGTCCTCTACTCTGGAAGTCCTGGATGGTGTAACTCCATTGCACACAGGTTCATCCCTTGAGGGCTCTTGGTAATGGAGTACTTTCATGTGCATGCTATTCTGCTGCTCTTGTGGAAAGAGTCTTCAACCCCATTCTGTATACCCTGGACACTCACCTTGTGAGACGCAGCTGAAGCAGACCTCATTGTCTGGGACACTGTCCTTGGTTCTGTTGGAAGAATTAGCCACCAGATCCTTGAGGCTGTCTCAGGACTTTGGCTTCACCTTTACCATAACAATTGGAATGCAGGCAAAATAGTGTTTCCAGTTACTAAAATAAGACTATAGACCATATAATATGTTTGTTTTGTGCTTATTTAACTCACAGGGGAAAATACCCATATTTTTAAGACTCTGGATTTAAAAAATCTAGTTGATTAAAAGAGAATATTGTTGCCTTGTCTGTTTGGTTTTGTTTTTTGGGGGGTTTCCAATACAATTGTGGAGCAAGAAAATCAGTCTCTGGAAAATATGTCTAAAATGCGAGAGAAGATTCCAACAAAATAAGTTAGATTTCAGTTAATATGTGAAAAGCATTTCTTCATATATACAATGTTTATTTTACATGGATAATTTATGTAAATAATTGAATAAATAATACTTTTGGGTTTGGGTTTTAGGGGAGGTTTTAGGTTTGGGTTGCAGTGGCGGCTTTTCAGCTGATTCAAACATCTAGTTTTCAGAATACTCTGCCCACATGATTTTTAGATATGACTTGGCCCTAATTGCTGACTCAGATTTTCACATTTTAAAAAGCAATTGTGCATTTTCATATACATTATCAAACAAGATTATAAGACTTTAAGGTAAGAAAGTAAAAGGGCATTCACTAATGATCATCAGAATCACCTACAAGGGCCAGTAAACCACACATTACCGGGCCTCTTCCCCCAAATTTCTAATTCTGTAGATCTCTGGTAAAGCCTCCAATTTTATGTTTCTAATAAGTCCTCAAGTGACACCAATGCTGCTGGTCTGGAGACCACACTTTGAGAATCACTGCATTAAATTAACAATTTTATTGGTTGAGTTTTCACCACAATGTGCATATCTGTTGACTAACAATGAATAGCTTTGTTGTCGCCAAACACTGTAATGTTTCCAAATATCCATATATAGTCATAGGCCCAGAGAAACAAACCACATCTATATTAAGAGTGCTTTGTTGTTATCATTTGACCCCCACTTTAGTGTTTTTAATTGCATCGATCCTGGAGAAAAATAACTGTTTTCTAATTTTGGCATTACAGATTTGCTAAGGCAATAGAAAATTCTCTTAAACCTTTAGATTTTTAGTCTTCTAGTAAATATAAGCATATGAGTTCCAAGCAAATTCTGAGTTTTAAAAAATTTAATAAAATTGACAAATGTTTTCAATAAAATTGGAGAGGCTCATTTCCTTGTACAAATATTCTAAAAATACATGATAAAAGTTCTAAGTGCTATTTGTTGAAAGATCAGCAAAATAACTCTACAAGTATTTGTGGGCATGTTATCTTTTATGTGATATTGGTTATAAACTTAAGTTATATGAAGACAGTGTGTTAGTTAAATTATGTTCTAGTCCTACCTTAAGGAAATAAAAACAATAAGGCTCTTAGTGACTTTCTTCTGCACCACTGCAGTACTTGCTAACATGTTTTAATAATATGTAGTTGAGAATGATGAACTCTAGGCAGCAGGGTGACTTGGAGATACTAATGGAAATGCCCAGTCAAAAAGAGCCTGGACTAGACTGAGCTCTGAAGACTCCAAATAACTTCCTGTTATCCCACCATCTTCTTAGATGGTCCAATCATGCTACACTCAGTCTAGGGCAGTGACCCTGAGGAATGGTATGTTTGGCAAAAAAGAAACCAAAGAAGGGTATTGCCATGCTTTAAGATTTTCCCACATTTTTTTCAGCATCTTGAATGGGGTTTCTGAAAGTCTGAGGAGTGAACTGTGACCAAAATTGCTGATATTTTGAGCTCAAAGAAACTGAAATTTTTAGGTAAGAATACTAAGACCAACTTAAAAAGTATAGTATCAATGATTTACATTTCTTTAGCTGAGGATTTTCAGACCACTTTAATGCAAATCACATTGATTGATTCTCTAAACCAGTCTATGAAGTGGGCAAAGTGATGGTCTCATTTTTCAAATGAGGACTAAGGTTTATTTAATTAAAGTGGTTAACTCTTCAAACATCTAGTAGAGGCTAGCCAGATACATTGGCTCACACCTGTAATCCCAACACTTTGGGAGGCTGAGGCAGGCAGATCACCTAACTGGAGTTCAAGACCAGCCTGGCCAACATAGTGAAACCCTATCTCTACTAAAAATACAGAAATTAGCTGGTCATGGTGGCGGCAGGTGCCTGTAATCCCAGCTACTTGGGAGGCTGAGGCAGGAGAATTGCTTGAACCCAGGAGGCAGAGGTTGCAGTGTGCTGAGATGGTGCCACGGCACTCTAGCCTTGGTGAGAGTGAGATTCCATCTCAAAAATCAAAACAAAAAAATCTAGTAAGGGTCTGTGTCTAGCACCTGCACTTCAAATATGTGTTTGTCATGACATCATTAGCCCAATTCAATTTTCTTTCATTAATTTGCTGAAATAAATATTTTTTGAGTTTATACTGTATACCAGGTGCTGCTGTAAGTACTAGGAATATAACAAATCAAACAAATAAAAATCCATGACCTTTTGGAGCTTACATTTCAATGAGTATAGGCAAAATAATGGCCCCTGCAAAGAGTTCTACTGCCTAATCCCTGGACTATATGAACGTTACCTCACATGCAAAAAAGGATTTTGCAGATTTGATTAGGGGCACAGACCTGGAGATGTAGTGTCTATAATAGCCCGGTGGGCCCAATCTAATCGCACAAGTCCTTCTAAGCAAAGACTTTTCCCTGGTTATGTTAGAGAGATATGTGATAACAGAAGAAGGGTTAGAGAGATGCAACTTTGTTGGCTTTGGAAATGAAGGAAGGGAGCCAGGAGCCAAGGAATGTGGACAGCTAGAAAGGTCAAGGAAGCAGATTCTCCCTTAGCCCATTCAGAAAGGAATGCAGTCCTGAAGACACCTTGATTTTAGCCCTTTGAGACCTGTGTTGGACTTCTGATCTACACAACTATAAAATGATACATTTTAATTGTTAAATCACTAAGTTTCTGATAATTTATTACACCAGCAGTAGAAAACTACAGAAAAGATAGACAATATTCAAGAAAAATAAGTAAAAAAATATATTATATGTTGGATAGTGGTAAGTGCTAAGGAAAAAAGGGAATGACATAGGAAGTATCAGTAGGGATGCAATTTTGAATAGCGTGGCCCTCCAGCTTGACATTTGCATAGACTTGAAGGAGGTGAAGGGCAAGAACATTTCAGATGAAGGAAACAGGAGGCTAAAAGCTGAGACTAGGACAATGATCAGCCTGACTAGATTCTGAATATCACCGCTAAAAGGGCAGTTTCTACTTCAGAATACACGTACAAGCTTCCCCGGGAGTCATGTGTGATGATTTACAATAAAGTTTCAAAACTCCACAGATGACATTCTTACTTTTCTATAAGGAAACAGTCTTGCCCGGATAACATCATTTACTTTTTCATGTTTGCTGGAGAATTCATTAAGAAATTCAATACACCGTATTCAAAGAAGATGAATTCTTACACTCACTTAAAATTTGGTCTAAGGCAAACAATTGAAGATGTTCAGACTGAGTCTTTTTGGACCATCTACTCAACATCATTATCAACCAACAGCTTATACCCCTTCAAAGGGATCTCAAATTATATTTGATCCTGAGTTGTTGCTATAATAAATTTAGAGCTGGAGAAAAATAGTCATTGTAATTATTTTATTATTAGAGACCGACTTACATATGCTGAATAAATAAAAACAAAATGAGAGTTAATTCTGTGCAAAATTCACCATCAATTTTGATGAAATTTCCTATTGATACTTCCAAGTACAGTAGACCTTTTGTATCCATGGATTCTACATCTGTGTATTCAATCCAAAATTGTTTTTTAATAATATGGTTGTGTATATACTGAACATGTACAGACTTTTCCTGTCATTCCCTAAACAATACAGCATAGTAACTATTGACATAACATTTACATTGTACTAGGTATAAGTAATCTGGAGATGATTTAAAGTATATTGATGTGTGTAGGTTATATACAAATACTATGTCATTTTATATAAGGAACTTGAACATCCATGGATTTTGGTATCTGCAGGGAGTCCTGGAACCACTCCCCAAAGATCCCGAGGGACCACTGTAATCTAATTGAGGCCAAGTTTCATGGGTTTGTATCCTCTTAAGTACCTGGGGGGAAAAACTGTCTGATTTTTGTTTTTGAAGTTTTAGTATACTGTATATTTTAATTTTCAAAGAAAGGAAAACAGAAATTTTATGATCTGTGTCAATAGAAGTGTTAATATAAAAAGCAAAGAAATGCCTAGGTAAATATTGGCCTGGTAATAAACATTCTGCAATGCTGCTTCATGGGAAATATGCTTTACCTTGCTACTCAAAATGTGATCCATGAACCAGCAGTATGAATATCACCTGGACTTGGTAGAAATTCTGGGGCCCCACCCTGACCTAGTGACTCACCATTTGCATTGCAGTAAGATCCCAGGTGATTCATATGTGTATTCAATGTGAGAGGCACTGCACCAGGGCCATACCTGGGGCCCGCATGAAACACACCAAGCATTGTATGTTCTTTACATCCTGACAAGTCCGTATGAACTCACATTATTCTGAATACAGTGCACTAGCATATCTATCATGTTTTGAAAAGCTATTTTCATCAAGGGAGCTTAGTATCTGGTGCTCAGGAGATACCTACAGAGAAGTAGACAGTGTTATGCTGTTGAGAATCTATCAAACCTTTTGGTCGTATAATGTTTTTATTTCAAAACCTTAAATTGGTCAACATATTTTTTAATATTTAATAGTTGAGGGATGAAGAGGACAGAAGTTTAATTAGTTCAAAGGAAGGTAAATTGGGAAGGAAACAAATTTTTTGTTGAATCCGAATTTTCAGAATGAAAGAAGACACCAGTGCCCTGTGGTTCAGTGCTGACACAGCTGTGATGTGACCCTTCAAAGGTCAATGCTTGTGCCCCCATTGCTGGCCATCCTTCTCCTGGTCAATGTTGATGTGTCATTGGCTGGCTCTGTGTTGCTGGCTTGGTCTTGCTTTCACTGAACTTTGGCCTCCACAAAACTTCTAAGTAGCATTACTCCTACTTGTTAATCTTGGAAACACACAGGGTGAGTGAAATTCCATTTTCTTTCTTTTTTTTTTTTAATGATTAATAGATGATTTATTTAAGTAAGAATCCATATAGTCATCATTGCCAGACTTAATATGAGATGTTAAATGTTCCATCCAATTTTCCTTCCTGGATAAGTTTTTCTTTTCTATCCCTGTCAGTTTTGAAAACATAATCCCAGAAGAACAGGGGCCCGATTCCACACAGAGCTTCCAAGAGTGAGTTTTTAGGAGTGAGTCTGAAATTAGGATAGACATTTGCTGATCTCGAATCAAGGCAAGATCTTCAGTGAGCTCTTGGCGGTTAGGGTTGTTGTACTGAAGCAGGTAGTCTTGTTTCAACTGGGCTCTTATAGCCAACCGTTCAGCTTGCATCTGCCGGGCTTCCAGAGATATGTCATATTCGGCTGAGGGTCAAGGACAGAGTGGCGAGGTGCGACGGAGTATACTTTGGGAATGACATTTTGGTGACCCGGTGCACAACTGCCTGAAATTCCATTTTCATGTGACACTTTTGTATCTGTAACCATCAGGTCTGTTCCCTATGTTTTCTATTCCTTAAGTTGGCTACCATTATACTATCACATCTCTTTCCTTTTCTAGTGACTCCCCATTAGGCTAGCTCCTATCTCATAACCTTCTTTTGTAATTTAACGGCCCAAAGATGAGCAAATTCCAGAAATTCCTAAAGTAATTCAATTAGCTCAGAGCATCATAGAGACTCTTTTTTTCATTGCCTCATCCTGGGGGTGATTTATCAATGAAAATGACTTTAGTTTGATAGACGCTGGCTGCCTCATCGTATCATTGTGACATCATGCACTTAACTAAAAGGGCTTGACTTAGGCATCATCTCCTTCTCTCTCGGCAGCTGCTCAGTTAGATGTTTTTGTTTTAACCAAAGGGCAGGACTTCAAATATGACCCTATTTAACTCCATCTGGTTATATTTAGGCCTTATGCTCTTTTTATATCCTGATTCTGTCATCCATTCTCTTAGCTGTCCTTCCCAGTTTGATGTAATATTATTTTCTCAAACTATACCCTTTTCCATAATAAAGATTGTCACTGCTCCCTCAGGCTTCCTTAAGCAAGCTTTATAATATGTCTGATAGAATCTCTGTTTCTGATTGTACTCAGGATAGATTTGTTTCCTGGCACACATGTATGTGTTCTTCAATATGTCACTTAATCACAGTGCCGCTTTTAGATTACAAACTCCTGTCACCAAGGGTTTTGTTCCCTCTTTTCAAAGCAGAACTTAAAAGAATTTTGCTTACCTTTACATCATTGACTTTAACTGTTCACATCATTGACTTTAACTGGATGATGGTTGACGACTGATGGCCAACTAACAAAAAAGGAGTTGAGGAATTGAGGTTTCGGATATAACAGAAGGATACTTAAGACTTTTAATGAATAAATAAACTAATTTTTCTTAGCAAAATGGTTCAGATAAAAGTAAGAGTGCGTCAGAGAAGGCTGTCATTGGTTTATTTGTTATATTCCTAGCTGATGGTGATTGTATGTTAGCCAAATATCTTGCATTTGATTTTAAAACAAATCAGAAGTAGATGACTCAGAAATGGTGACAATAAAATTATAGACAAGCCCCTTGCTACAGCAGCTCTTATTAATTAAATATCTGAGACAGAAGAATTAAAAGAGAAAAAAGTGGTATACAATTTGGAAGGCTGGCCATAAAAGTATTTCTTTCAGCTGGAGACACCTTACCTGCTTAAATATATAAAATTTTTGAAGAAATAAGAATAGATCTTATTTTACTTTGCAATGAAGGCTTGAGATATTTGAAAGTTCACTTTATTGCAATAGGATTAAGTACATCAAACTTCATTCTTATCTCTCTCAAATATTAGGAGTGTAACTTTCAACTGAACTTCTTTACCTGCTGTAATATACTCTACTACAGTGATATTTTAAAATGAATACTTTGCGAACGTAGTACTAGAATATGGATAGTGTTTTGAATATTTTAATAGCCTTACAGGATTAAAAAAAGGATCTTATAAAAAGTATGTGTAGTACCATTCAATTTTTACAAATTTATGCATTTGCTTATTCATATATGTAAATTGCAAATTTACATATAAGCTTATACTCAGAAAAAGATAAATGTTGTAAACACACTTGCACGCATGCACACACCATAACAACCACCATGCCGTTCAGTGATTATTTCAGGGTAAGTACAATTGCAGAAATTTTACATAGTCACGTTTTGCCTGTATTTTCTGTTATAAGCTTTTGTTTTGGCATAAGAAGAAAATAATCGGCCGGGCGCGGTGGCTCAAGCCTGTAATCCCTGCACTTTGGGAGGCCGAGACGGGCGGATCATGAGGTCAGGAGATCGAGACCATCCTGGCTAACGTGGTGAAACCCCGTCTCTACTAAAAATACAAAAAACTAGCCAGGCGCGGTGGCCGGTGCCTGTAGTCCCGGCTACTCGGGAGGCTGAGGCAGGAGAATGGCGTAAACCCGGGAGGCGGAGCTTGCAGTGAGCTTAGATCTGGCCACTGCACTCCAGCCTGGGCGACAGAGCGAGATTCCGTCTCAAAAAAAAAAAAAAAAAAAAAAAAAGAAGAAAATAAATTTAAAAATTTCCCCAAAACATTCTTTGTTATAGTCAAAAATTAAAATGAACAGTGTCTATCAATAGGAGAATGGCTATACAAACAAAAAAGGACAAATAAGAAATAAAATTGGCCAGGTATGGTGGCTCATGCCTGTAATCCCAGCACTTTGGGAGGCCAAGGCTGGTGGATTGTTTGAGCCCAGGAGTTTGAGACCAGCCTGGGCAATATGGCAAAATCCCATCTCTACAAAAAAAATACAAAATAATTAGCCAAACGTGGTGGCATGCGCATGTAGTCCCTAGCTACTAGGGTGGCTGAGGTGGGAGAATTGCTTGAGCCTGAGAGGCGGAGGTTGCAGTGAACAGAGATCACGCCACTGTACTCCAGCCAGGGAGATAGAGCAAGACCCTGTCTCAAAAAATAAATAAATAAATAAAATTAAACAATGGGGAAAGATTCCTGTTGCCATTTTAAATGTTGATCAACATTCAAATTTTCTGTGGTTTTAGATAACAAGACATGTCAACCTCCTGAAACAGTCATTGATGTAAATAATAAGAATATATATGCATTTGACTTTACCTGAGTTTAAAAGTAGAGAGAAAAGATGCATTGAAGCACGCATACAATTATTTTCTAAACATATCCTTCAGTTTCAGTGTTTTTTAATCAAACCACCAGGAGAATGGTGCAGCAGACAATGACAGTCCATGTCTCCCCCTTCATGGTCCCTTAGTTGTCATTGATGGGTGACTGCAGAGAACCATAGGGATTTGAGGACCTAACAGAGATATGTTTTACATTGAGAGTGGACATAAGCTCCTCGTTGCCTCATTGTGGTTTGCACTTCAAGCTGCAGCGTATACTTTTTCTAAGCTGTGTGGTCTGCCTTCCTAGAACTGTGTGCCCTGTACTGTTATTTGAGAATGTTTATCTAGTGAGGAGTGCTGCGTTGCTCCACTGTGTATCACAGGGCACAGGAAGCAATGGTATGACATTTTTGCTGCACATCTGTTTTTGATTATTCTTAAAAGATGAAAATGTTAATCACGACAAGGGTGTATTAGTCCATTCTCATGCTGCTATAAAGAACTACTTGAGATTGGATAATTTATAAAGGAAACAGGTTTCGTTGACTCACAGTTCTGCATGGCTGGAAAGTTCAGGAAACTTAAAATCATGGTGGAAGAGGGCACAAAGATGTCCTTATTCACATGGCAGCAGGAGAGAGAAGTGCAGAGTGAAGGGGGAAAAAGCCCCCTATAAAACTATCAGATCTCCTGAGAAGTCACTCACTATCATGAGAACAGCAGGGGGAACTGCTCCCATGATCTAATCCCCTCCCATGAGGTTCCCTCTCCCAAAACATGGGGATTACAATTTGGATTACAATTCGAGATTTGGGTGAGGACACAGAGCCAGACCATAT